AGAAAAAAAGTCTTTGAAGTGCTGGAAATGCGCTATAATACTGAAATACATAATGGACAATGTATACATGTAATTATATGTACTGATATATCGTTTTTTTGTCTTTGGATGTCAACCAAACAATCAAAAAATATTATTTACAGGCAAAATGCATTTTTATTCATAATCGAACGGTTTCATTCACTGACAAGATTTACTTAACGCTACTCTGACTGATGACAGAAGTGGAAGATTATCCGTTACACCGTGCTGCATTCTTCAACGACACACAATCAATTGCACGACTCATTAATAATGGTTGCACCTTTAATTTATATATTTTCGGTTCTATAATAAAGGCTATTGATGTAATGATTGTCGACCTGCTCAGCGTAATATTTTAAAAGCTTAAAAGAATCCATTCTTTGTGGAATTAAATGTTTTGAACATTTTCAATACTTAGTACATAAGGTCTGCACATACTAATTTGTGACATAAATTCACTTCTTCAGGTGCAGATCTTCATTTGCAAGATCGCCAAGGCAATACGGCTTTGCACATTTCTACAATGCTTGGACACAGGGGTTTGCAAAATGTTTCTTCCTTTACATCTGTCGGATATAAAGAACTCATGCTTCCAAGACGAAACATTTTTCCATTACTCTGTGGATGTAGGTATCCATTTTCAGAGGCAACAACACTTCTGCTTGCTCATAATGCTCCAGTGAAATCAAAAAACAAGGACGGATGGAATAGCTTAATGGAAGCAGTAAGCTATGGCGACCGACAAATAAGTAAATTCATCTTGCATTAATTACTGTCGTCGTGGAAGTTTTTCCCACTTCATCGTATCATGTGTCTTCCAAATAGTTATATTTTTTAATGAACAGTATGATCACGAGGTTTGTTTTCGTTTCTGCTAAATTTTTCTGCTGTCCCTGTACTTGGGTTTTTATGACAGTAATCTTTCCAGTTCAAAAATTTTTGTTTGAATGTTGATATGCTTATGAGTGATCCCTATTTTATTTATGATTATTAATGAAAATCACATATTATTTTGAATCAGCAAGATGCGAACAGAAGTTGAGTCACATTCTATGAATAAAGTAATCCAAAAATAAAGCAAAACCTTAATGCTCTTGTCCAAAGTCAAATATATTGAGTTAGCAGGGCTTCTATCTTAGTTGAAACTCTCCACATACCTTATTGATATAAACCAAATTTCCTTCATTTTTCTTCATTTTCAGTTACGGCCATGTTACGTAAATTGAAGGCACAGTCACGAGAAAATATGGCAGCTCGAAAACCTCACTTACTTAAAATGCTATCTGAGTTTGGTGATTTCTATTTGGAATTGAGATGGGACTTTCAAAGCTGGCGTAAGTTGTCCCTTAAAGTTTTATTTAGTTTTTTTTTTTTTTTTTTTGATTAATTCTGTTTGTGATGGATTTGTCAGCTTACAAACTTTGGGTGTATGAGACCTTTAGGCGATGAGATCCATCAAGGAAGTGACGCTGTTAAGTTTAGGAGCGAAAAGTGCAAATCTGCAAATCAAAGTCCGATTGCAGAAGATTCTCCTTTTATGCTTAAAAATTTTAGTTCCGCTGCTCACAAAGATGCTGCCTTCGGATATATGCAAAATATATAAATCTGGGACAAACCTAAGGTTGGACACAACACTGGTTGATTTTACTGATCGAACATGGATGCGAGGCGATATATCTTTCATCTTCTCATCAGATCCTGATCGTTCAAAGAACCAGCTTCTGATTTTAGATCATGAGGCTAAGGTTTTTTTCTCACTAATAATTCTTTCAGAGAAACTTCTTCGTTTATTAGTTCATTTTTTTCCTGCTGCTTCCAAAAAATTATAGTATTTGAGGTATTCCAACGTATAAGGCATGAAGAATCAGAGGTTGCATTGGATGAAGAAATTGATGTTCTAATGTCTTCTGATATCGTAAGCGCTCAGATATCAACAAAACCAATAACGTTTGAGAGAACAATAAGTGGCTGGATTTTTAAGCACCAGAAATTGGTTGGCTTTTTTTATTGTCATTTAATTTGCTTTAATTCTTTTTGGATTTTCGTCTTCAAACGTACAAGCCGAATCTCATTTCGACAGATTTCAGCGTTTTTTTTTCCAATCTAGATTCAATTTAACAGGAACAAGTTGGTGATTATAATGCTGTTTATTATACTATGGAGGGTATGTCACTAATTACACGTAAACGGTTAGCTTTCGTTCTAAACATTTCATCTGAAATTTACTTGAAAAGCGTGAATTACTGCTTGATCAAAAAGAGTGTAGTTCAAACTTCATTTTGCTTGTTATGTAATATGTAGTTTGTAATATGGTGGATAAAGTGGATGCTCAATTAATTGTAATATGTAGTAGCTACATATTGCAATTAATAGAGCATCCACGTAACGAGGGATTGTCTGAAAACAAAGTAAATTGAAATCGTTCATATTGAATTCAGTTTTTGGAGATTCAACTTTATGATCTGAGAAATTTTCGTTCCGTATGTTTTCTTTTTTTTTCAGCAAATCACATTTTGCAGAAGAGAACACTTGACAGCAGAAGATATCAAGAAGAATAAAGCATTCATGCAAAGTCTAGCAATGGGATCACTGATGGCAGAAGATGAATTCCTAGTACGTTTAAGTCATATTACTCTGTAGTTTTTCGCGTGGCAGTTGTATTGATTCCTATAAGAATACTGGTGCACTTATCAAGTCCTGAGCAAAACAATTAATACATATTAATAACACAGAAAATAACTGAAATACATTCCACTTGTTTATGTTACTTGTAACAATATTAATTCCAGAATCTTCAACACCGAAAAAGTCTACCTCCGCCACGAAGAATATCGATCACATGGGAAGAATATATTAGTGCTGCTGCTGGTCTTGCTCCCTCTCTAGGACGCGCTCAAGTTCTTAAGCAGACTACAAAAAAATTCAAAGCTCTCGTTGCGATGGTAAAAGTCTTTGCTACTAATGATGTTAGAATCGCATGACGTATTTTCTCAAATACTGTGAATTTTTTTCGGAAATTTTCCTTCACTTTTCGTGCTAAAAGAAACGGAGTAAGAAAAAGCGCAATAATTTTGTAGCTGGGTTTACACTTTTTTTGAAGCCATTTAATAAAATTGCAAAAAAATCAGTTGATAATTGCATCATTAATGTGTCGGTACTTATATTATTAATGATTAAAACAATGAATTTTTCAAGTAAATACTGGTTATCGCGCTTCTTTTTGTGCAATTTTTTCTTTAAAAAAACATTTAAGTTTTTCAGGCTGAAGATTTCCCCCTTTCGGTTGACGTTTTGTTGGATATTCTCGAAATTGTCGCACCTTTCAAGCACTTCGATAAATTGCGGTGTTTTTGTAAAATGAGGCTGCCACCTGGTTTTCCAGTTCGAGTTGGTAAATACTTCTGCAATTCAAGAAATATGTTTTAAAGTTCATTGTTTCCACTTTTTTCCACCGATTATTTGCTACCAGTTTTTGATTTACTATTTCATTTCAGAAATTCCTATACTGCCAACAATATCAGCGAAGGTCACATTCCAGAAATTCATGTTTCGCAATGATATAACGCCAAAAATGTTTAAAATACCAAAGTCATATCGAGAAGATGCTAATCGTTTTCCGGATCTTTAGTTGTAGCATTTGAAACTGCAAGCCATTACATTTTAGAAATTCGCTAGATTATTTTTTCGTTCTGATCTTCGCACAAGTCAAAAGTGCTTCCATAACATCTAAGATTCCATGCATAACTTTTCAGAGACTTGTGCTCTTGTGCTCAGCTTTATCCTGTGCACTTCCCTTTATTTCGGTTTCTACTTTAATAATTGATTTTAATTATTTATATATAAAGAAATATGCATACCGGCTGTTAAACGATGTATCATTAATTTCTTCAATATTTTTAAAACGAATTTAAAGAATAGTTTTGTGAGCAATTCAGCAAGTTTTTTCTTGTGCAAACTAATATTGTTCTGGATTACGGATGTTGAAATCAGCGAACTCCAAAGCATAACCTTCGTATGTTTTCCGGATTGTATCATATTGATATTCAAAATCAGTGCTTACATATATTTTCTACAGTTCCTTTGCGTTCGCTCAGGATTTGATAGTCTCATATGGTTGAACAGAATGCACATTTTGCTGGGATATCTAAACTTTGCATCATTTTAACAATGTGAAAAGATCAAGTTTTGCATACTAAAGGCAATGTTTAATTTTAAAATTTATAAGTGGTCTTTATTATATGTTACTTGTCTTGCATCATTTTAAATACAGGGTGTAATTTTATGTAATTGAGTCATAAGATATGTATCTAAAATTGTTTGCAACATTTACTGGTGCCATTTTTTGGCAATAATTTGCAGATTTACGAATAGAAAAATCATGTCGGGCATCCTCGTAACAAGATTTTTTGCTGCGTTATTTTCATAAATAGTTGAAAGTTTCCATCGTTCAGTACGATGGTCCAATGAAATAATAAATGAAGGATTCATGAAGCGTCGCTTTCCATCTGTAGTATGTTGAAACTAAAGCGCAACACTGTTTTATATTGTTGAATATTTTGTTCTTTCGACCTTATCTTCATCCCTGAACTGTTTTCTGCTATTGAATAACCTTTTCTAGGTATTTGTAGTAGGAAGGTGTTACATTCTGGCTGGTTTATTCAGCTATTGCATCATTCAAATAATATTTAATACGGCTTTCTGTCATTTGGAAACTGTTTGAAAGTAGCAGTTTGAATGAAGCTACAAGCTGATATTGTAGCATGACATAAATGGATGTCGATAGTCTACTAGTGAGACGTTCCCCCGACAATGTGTATCAAGCACAACCATGAATGATAACCTTTTTTAAAAACATATTTGTGTTATTAAAAGAGACTATCAGTTTCATCCATCACATAATCTTGCTTGACCATCTGGTCACTGTCGGTCAGCACGACTTTTCTGTCCCTCGCTCTTTGAGACTTCCTCGATATCCTAGATACCATTCGAACAACTGCTGAATGGCTTCCAACGAATATGCCAATGAGATGTTGAATTATCGGTCGGTGGTGGATCGAAATTACAAGCGTTACATTTTGAAAAATGGCGGTAATGGTTTATGCTATTTGCGACATCCAAGTGGAGTGATAGTTGTGACGTTGTATAAAAATCATGAATTGGCACAGAAGCAGATCAAAAAAATTGATTGGCATATGAAGAAAAATAAAGGAATTGATCGAAGTAAACAGAAAGTTAGCGGAAAAGCAAAAAAGGTACTGGTTTTTACAGGAGCGGGTCATGTATTTCTCTCAATTTTGATTGATCTGGTACGGTATTTTGATTGATCTTATCTGATACTGTACGTATCGTATCGTATCAGATAGTCCAAAATTACTGAATATATGAAGTAACTGTTTTGCAATTGTATGCAGGGTGGACTAGCGCTTCTGCCGGATACAAAACTGTGTATTGTACATTGTGAAGATGGTACCGAATATGTACTACGTGCAGGTATTAAAGCTCTTTTGATTGAAGTCAATGAACGGCTTCTAGAAGATCCCAATTTAATGCGCTCTGCTCCTGAAAACCAAGGTTATCTAGCGATAATCATACCATATTCCAATGAAAGAAAGCAACCTCCACAAGCTTTCACTGAAGAGGACGCTATCGAATAGCTAAAATGAAGGTAGATTCTGAATTGTTAATTATTTTAATTAAGTATTTCATGAATTTCGTTTATCGGCAGCGTAATATTTTTACAGCATAAAAGGCTGGTCCATGTTTTTAATTCTAATCATTGCAATATTACATATCAGTTTTTACTACCATAAACTTTGGTAATTAAAAGATCACCTTCTTGTCCTTTTTTAGTACTGGTACATCTTTATGCTAATATTCTTTCAATCAGCAAGAAAGATGAACTTAGATTGAAGTTTTATTACAGATTTATTGGTTCCCTGTTGTAGTGGTTACATAATATGTAACAGGTTCTTATTAGATTCGCAAGAATGAAAGTCATAAGTTTTGAAAACAGCTGTTTCTCACCCTTCAGCTCATCCCTTTATTCTGTTATTTTACTGTTCAAACTGACTGTGCATTTTATTTGCAATAATTAATAATTTATTGCTTTCAGAAGTTGATTGAAGAAACTCATCTCATCAACACTTTTTCATCAATCGCTGGTGGGAAAAATAAAACTATTTTTTTATTCTAGCATTTTTCTCTATCGCTATATAAATAAATCATTGTTGAATGCTTTTTTTATTGTTCTTTATGAAGATATGCATGTGAGCATTAATCGATTTACTGTACAGAGCAGTGGCAAATATGAAGTTCAAGCATTGATGAAAGAGGCGAATATAATACCGCATTCCTTTCCCCGTCCAGAACAGCATTCGTTGCATTCCTTTATAGAACGAGGAAAGATTGAAGGACTACTTCGATGATAGAAGTTTCTGGAATGTTCTGAAGAAAGTTGGGAAGGAATTTTCCCTTCCAAATTTTATCTACAATTTATTTGATACTGTCATGAGAGAATTTTTCCTTCACTGGATCGTCCTTGTAAAAGTCATAAAGCGATAGAAAGATTGGGTATAGAATAGAGCTAGAACAAGATTTATTCGAATTTTCCTGGTATCAATTGACGTTAAAGTGTTTTAGGAAGAGCTAACATCACTTGACATGCTACAAATTTGCAAATGGTTGATGTTCATGTTAACAAAACATCCTCAAAATATTTACTAACATTAGAATAATTAGAACAAAGTTTCATCTTAATCTTTGGTTTATTTCAGAATCTTCCTGATCACCCTCAAGTTAATAGGTGTTCATGGCAAGCATGGAATTTTGGATTTTTTTAAAATGGGAAGCTTAAAGCTTCAAAAAAATTGAATTTTTTCTGCTTAGCCGCTTTAACTTGAAAGAAGCTGAAGTTAAAGATTCTTTATTTTAGAAAAAAATATTCCACGAAAAATTAAAAACAGTTTTCATTTGTAAGAAAAAAAAGGAAGAAGAATAGAGTTCCCTTCGCTGAACAAAAGATCTATTTGCGATCAAAAATTAGTAAGAAATTAAGAGAACATTCGTTATTTCAGCCGAAGTCAGAACTTGTTCAGAATGTCTCGATGCTTTCAACTGAAAATTTAACCGCACAGATATATTATGACCATAAGCTAACATCATTATTTTCTCATTTCACCTTAGTTTCCGTCTTTGCTTCTTTTTATTTAATTTCTAAAGAAAGAGATAACGAAATGATACAGGGAAGATTTCTTTTGATTTTCAAACTTCAGGAAATTAAAATGTGATGTCATTGTGGGAAATACACTTATTAATATATAATCCGGAAGAATAAGTTAATCCTCGGGAAGTAAGCCAATAGTGATAAACCAAATATAGTCAAAGTCTGCTAGTATAAGCAAAGTCGGCTTACTGCTCATTTTCTTTTCTTTGCTTGATGTGTCAGATAAGTGTGCTATTGGGAAGTCTGTGACTACAAGGATTGTGAAGCATTGTTTTACCTCTTTGGAAATTTTATAAGATCAATAGTAGATTTGCACCGAGAAGTTCCAGTTCAGTTTTATAATAATCTCAGCTTCTCTTTCAGTAAAGCTTATTGAACAACTAAGGTGCTTCTGTTTTTATCATTTTAATGTTACATTGGCACAGATTTACTCTCATCATTTTGAGTATTGAAAATGTTCCGAAGTCTCCGCAATTAAGCTGAAGTTATGCATATAATATATGTATATCGAAATTATGGGAATGTTTAATTAATTTAGTTTCAAAGTTTTTTTGCACTGCCATTTTCTTATTCATTTATGGTTTGTAGTGTAACTTTAAAAAATGGATGCAAAAAAACGAAATGTTTTTTCATCATCGCAATTATGCTACACATCGATAGAAATGCCAGCAAGAGATTTCGGTTTACTGAAATGCATTTCCATATCACAAACAGTAGTTATTCGGTTCTATGTCAGGTCAAGATCGTGGTTTATTTGAAATGCGACCGATCAATCCAATTTGTTCAAGACAATCTCGAAATTAAAATAAAAAATAAAATTTATCAAAAAGTAATTCCTTATAATTGTACATAATTTAACTTATTAAAAAGTCTCTCTCTACAGAGATGAATGATTCACAGAAAATTTTCATTTACACAGTGAGATATAAAAATACCTTATCTTGCTTGATAATAGAATGAATCCGTTTTTCGTGTAATCTCGTCAGAACATTAATTAAAGTTGACTACTCACACATGCGATGTAAACAACATTAGTCGTTCACGATCACTAAACTATTGTCAACAGAAGGTGACGCACAGATATTTTATCGTTTAACTAGTTCGTAAGGATTCTGTAATTTCAAAAAAAATTTCAGGCACATTCCATTTTAAAATTTAATTCAATTCAGTTTTATCCTGACTTATCGCAATTTTATTTTGATATTGCACACATTTCGGATGAATTTCTTTCCTTCTTCTAAAAACAAAATTTTTCTTATTTATAAAAAATTCCTCTTTAAAAATACAAAAACCAGATTAACGATAGAATATGTATGTATCATTTTCGATCATGATAATTCAGTGCTCTTGAATAACACTATTTATGCAACTATTTTCTCAAGTTAGACTGCGTGATAAATATGTGCAACCATTATCATCAAAAGTAAAATATTTTGTAATTTGATTGGAATTATATGCGAAATTCGGATCAGCAGTTTTGAAATTCCCAATTTTTGTTTCCTTGGTTCATACATTCCGGGAATGGGAAGAAATCTTAACTTGAAGTTTTGATTCAATTCTGAATAATCATTTTCTGAATTCCAATTTCCTGACTGCTAATATTTTTCTATCTTTACAAATCAATTAATGATTTAATGACATTATGATGATGCCTGATCACAAGACACATGATCACAAGACACATTATACTAAGTGAGATATGAAAGCCACCAGGTAATATCTAACATTATATAGTAGAAGTTTTGTTTTTCTATTAATTAAAATATAAGCATCATTTTTAGTGATGACCACTTGCAGATAATTTGATTTTGATGTAGGAGATGAAATTTTCCTGAGAAATTTCAAATCATGCAGAAAAATCGGAAATGAGTAGCCGGATCAATTACAAATGGTCGATTCTCATTGTTAACAAAATTCCAATTACTTATCTTCTACTTGTACAAAGTGAAATACTCCTACGGAATATAATTTCATCCAATTAATTCGAAATATTGTTCGAGATATTATATCAAAGTGCGATATGCATCATTGTTGATTTCTGTATTCAAAACCTTTTTGATTTATCAAATTTTTATTGGTTTATATCTCAGTCAAACAACATCGAATTTTTCCCCAAATTTTTGAATATTTGCAGAAATTTTTTGAGAAAAGCCATTAACAGTGTTAATTATGTTGTAATAATATCCACCACAGAACATCTTTGAAATGTTCGTTATTAAAATTGTAAACGACTTAGTTTCAACATATTTCCTAACATCGTAATTCTATCACTTTCATATGTTTTCCTTAATATCACCACAGTTGTCTTTCTGCGCTATCTTGGCGTAGTTTACTGTCAGATAGAGCATTAGTTGTTCACTGAAAAAAACATCAAACAAAAGTGTGAAACAGGTAATTAATGTAAAAACAGGTGAATTAGTTAATGAATAAATGAAATGCTATGGTGACATTGAAGAAGAATAGTTCAAACCTTATAGTTCATTTCGTTCAATCATTGGAAAAAAAAATCAAAATTTTTCGCATACCCAAAACGTCCATCATTTTTGTAACATTTATTATTGAACAGATGATAGTGTATGAATTTGCCTGTAAATAATGGGATGGATGACGTAACTGGTATAAATCACTTTGTTTACAACAAATACCGACGATAGACGAAAAGAAAAAATTTAGGTGGTAAAACGGGTCTGTGAAATTCTCTGACAGAACAATTATTAATGAATAATGAACTCTCATTAGTAATTCGTTTTGAATTTAACATTATTAATAGATTCTTGGCAAATAGAAAGAAAGGTTACATACAAATCAAAGTTTCTATTGATACCTTTATCAGAATTTCCATCAAAACTTGCTGCAATTTTATTACGTCAACATCGCTTAGCTTCAAATGTACTTTAACTGATAAGTTCAGTTCCAATGAGTAATTAATTACCGTCCTTGCAATCCGTGTATGATGATTTGTCAGAAAAACTCATAATGGTGTACTTTTTTGATCACAATGAAGTGTTGAGAAGAGTGCGTCAACCTTATGATGACACTTTTTCAGAATATAAAGATAAAGTGCAGATCAATTTCTTCGCCGACAAATTAAAAACTGACTCGATTAAGGAAGATCATAAGGTTACACTAGCGTGAAAGTTTAGAATAATGCAAAAATTTAAATGTGTTACTCTGAGACAGAATTGTATATTTTCAATACAATATTTCACAGAGTTACATTTCAACAGCAAAATTCTAACTTAAAATAAACATGCTGAACATTCAGTCACAAATCAAATCCCATTCCGTTAATTTTTAGGAAAAAAATTGGAGGGAAAAACATCGGAAAAATGTAATCGACGAAAGGAAATAAAATCTTCCATTCCTTCTGTCATTTCTCATTTATTTCTCAGAAAAAGTATAAAGATTTTAAATCGGAAAAAAACTTTCTAACAAAATAAACTTTATTACTAGCAGTGTTTAGCAAACTCATCAAAGATGAATCTTAAGGAAAGATTCCGATGAAAGACAAAACTTTGTGAGTTTAATTATCGAAAATACATTCATTTTGAAATATTTGATTCGTTCCACGTTTCTGAAAATGTCTCATAGTCTGATAAGGTGTAATGGTCCCAAATGATTATTTATCGATTCCAAGTTTGTATGTGACAGGCTGAGTCATACTGAAGTTTTTTTCTCGAACTGGAATGCGAATGCTGTTAATGAAATTATTTTTGACAAGTAGTTGTTTGGAAGAGAGAGGACTTATGATTTGAAAATTTAAAAGTAAAGGAATTTTTGATTTTTACAATCTTAATCGATGTGTTGTCAACAATTTAGATGCTATTCGATCTGTAGTTTTTTTGTTTTTTTGTTCCAACCAATTGTTTTATAGTCTGCAAAATTTTCTCAAAAATTTTAGCTGAACTTTTTGTTCAGCTAAATATTTATCTTTTTGATCTCTCACTTCAAAGGAGCTTAAATTTTGTAAAATTGTTGACAACTACATTTGACAATGATTTTTTGCAACTAAATTAGCAAATTGGTCGCCCTAAATTTTTTTCCATAATATCAGTGCGGTCTGGTAAACATACATATGGTTTGAGCAGCATTCCAAATATATCCAGCAGGATTGATATGAGTAATTTTTTCAAAAATTGATGGGAATAATTGAAAATTTTCTTTTTGATGCGACATTTAAATGAACTTACAAAATGATTTTTCAAAATTTCAAATTTTTATTTTGTTAAAAATTGTCTGCAAATCCGATTTTGAACTATGACAGCAAGTGAAATAAACAATTGTTTATGGCCCAAAAATAAAAATGGCTGAAGACAATGAGAACTTCAAGCAAACCCGGCTTATGTGTTAGATAACCACGGCTGAAACAAGTGAAATGAATTAATGAAAAATTGGACAAATTCATCAATAACTATATCAAACAAAACAGTTGACCAACAGCAATATAAGTCTGCTTGAAGTGGGCGATTTTTTTTTTTGTCTTATTTTTAAAATTATTTATGACTGAATAAATTTGTCCTTTCCTCTATTACTATTATGAACGATAATAAATTGTCATATGGAGTTGTGGTAGCCAATTCACATTTCAATATGTAGAATACTGGTCATTCTCCAATGAACAAAGAATCTTTATTATAAAAGTAAATAATTATAATGGTAATTAACCTTGTTATAAAGCTAAAATGATGCATAAATAGCCAGATATTATACATATTGTTTGATTTGTAGGCTAAACGAGCAACTGACCGCTATTGTCAGTCGAATGAAATGTTCGACCCACCGAGCGAAAATGAGAAATAGCGCCTAATTTAGCTTCTGACTTAGCAAAACACAGTGAAGGTCAACTCAATAAAACAATCGATTTCTTCTAATTTTTGTCATCAAATTCCCCGCCCACTGGAAGATATTACAACAACAGTAGCGGGGGTAGGGAGGCTGATGAGTAAGAAAACTTGAATTTTTACTACATGGGGGAGTGGGGGAAGGCCGAAATAGAGATGAAACGAGAAGAGCATTCCATCGTATAAATAAATACCTGTAAACTACCTTCTGATATCATTCCAATCAGCGGCATTCATATCAGGAGAGCAGCTCCAATTCAATTCAGGTTGTATCATAGATGAAGAGAATGCTTACCTTATCATTTCACTTACTACTTTGTTCCGTTTATCTGGTCAACTCGAGGACAATCACAATTAGAATTCCCGAAAGCATCAGTTCGGATTTCCCGCATGAAACTGCTGGTTCGTCTCACCATGATGTATTTTAAATCTCATGCTTACAGCTTCTATTACTAAATCAAATTTTAGAGTAACAGTATGTTTGAAATTTTCGTTCGGAGTTGGACATATGATGTTAAGTCCTAAAAATTCCTGCATCAGAACTGAAAACTGAAAATTTTATCCCGAATACTTTCTAACTCGCAAAATTGCCATTCATATTTTAAAATTTTTATTTAAATTTATTAAAAAAAAATACTTTCTCCTTGAAAATGAAGTTCACAAGTTTTTACACTTTTCGGTGTCCTGTC